GCTGTATTTTCACAAAGAGACATAGACATATGCTCAAATGCCACACAATGAAAGACAAATTCACCAAATTTTGAGTTGTTATGTCATCTGCCATTGTAGTTCAGCTCACAGCCATCAGCAATGTCCTTCACACAAGTTCAAAATGGCATTTAAACAGCCTGGGAAAGCATTTTGTATGCTTAAATTTGCTTGTTGTAAGTCTGTAGTGATAATGCAGAGTGGTTTGTGCCAATTGTCGGAAGGTTCCACCCATGTACTGTACAATAGTATAATGAAGTGGTACAAAATTTCAAGAGGAGGATTCTTTGTGATAGTAAGCATTCTAGATGTCCTGGCATGTCAGAAGAGAAGGTGGAACAAGTGAGGGAAGCTTTTTAATGCCATCCCAAGAAGTCCATGAGAAGGATAAGCCAGGGTTCAACATTCCACACACAATAGTATGGAAAATTGCACTCCTGCAAGTACTTAACCTACAATGATAAAGTCCATGTTGCATTCTGCACTGAAATTCAACAATGCATGGAAGATGAGATTTTCAGCTGCAAGTTAATCTTTAGTGATGAGGCAACCTTTCACCTTTCAGGACAAGTAAACTGCCACATCTGCAATTGGAGATCAGAAAACCCTTGTGCTACAGTTGAACATGTTTGATACTCACCAAAAAATCAGTGTTTTGCATCTTGTCCCACAGAAGATTTATGGTCCCTTTTTCTTCATTGAGAGAATAGTTACTGGAATGTCATTTTTGGACATGTTACAATTATGACTCATGCCACAACTGATGACTGAAGGCAGGGACTTTATCTTACAGATAGATGGTGACTTATCACATTTCAATGATCTGAATGAGAAATTTCCATATTGTTGGAATGACTATGTCTCAACACATGACCAGGCACTCATTTTCACTACCAGGTCACCAGATTTGATCTCAGAATTTCTTGTGGGATTATATAAAGGAAAGTGTGTTCATATCAGTCCTACCATAGGACCTCCAGGATCTCAACACCACATCACAGCAGCCATTGCCACAGTCACCCTGATATGCTGGATTGGGTATAGAGCAAAATAGACTATAGGTTAGATGTGTGCAATGTAATTAAAGGTGGACATATTGAACGTTTGTAAGATGTAAAAACATAATTTGGAGTGTACAGTACATCTTTCATTTTGTGGACATTTGTGTGTGTCTGTTTCCTTGTGAAAATACTGCTGTTAGTAATGTTTCATGGACTTTGTAAACACCCTGTATTACATGAAATTGCAAAGGAATGATTTTTATGAAAAAATCCACATAAAAATTGCACACAGAAAAACCCCACTGTCACATTTTTGCACAAGAAAAATGGGCACATGGGAAAATTGTTCACTTTGAAAAATTCCCATCTCATATGGAAAATTACTCGCACCAATGTATGTGCTATTTTGAATACCATAGATATTTATATTTGTAGATAACCATTCATCATCACCCATTTGTGAGAATGAATAGGTATTACCTATATTTTAAATTATTATTGTTATCTTATGATTAAAATATCTCATATTCATATGCAACAATTTGCATTATAATTTTGTTGAGTATAATTAAATAATAATTTTGCTACATTATATTTATTGCTGTACAAAAGTGACCTGTGTATAAAGAGGGCTTTAATGTTCTTGAGTGTAAATGTTTATAAGGAAAAATACAGGAAAAAAGTGAACAGTTTTTATCAACAAACTTTATTAAGCAGGAAAAATGAAAATAATAATAATATAAACATTATCATGCATATTTAAATGTTTACAGTATAAGGTAGAATAGATATATTATGTATACGTTTAAGTCTTGACTACTAATGGCTTTTTGTTTGCGAAAATAGAAAATAACTATGTACAGTAGCTTTAGTTACTAATGGTCTGTTAATGGCATTTTCGGTGTTTTAATTAAATGTTTATACGAAAGCACGACATTTAATAAGAGTATTTAAATGGCTTGGTCAGTTTATAGTTTTAACAATCTGGAACGAATTACTAAAATGTTATTTTTGCTTCCTCTCATCACCGAATTTCTAATTCGTAAGTTCGTCTTTTCGATTATTATTATTATTGAATTTTATAATCTTTTGCAACATATTTGATGTTATTTATATCAATTCAAATTTCTTTTAAAATATTGTACTTGTTAAATTGTTGCAATTCAAACTAGACAGAAATAGTTTTAATAAAAATTGTTATTTATTGTGTTTCGTTTTCCTTGTGTAGGATGCAATAGTTTGCAGCTCGTAATGGATGGATTATCAAAGGATGATGGAGAGGCACAATGCTCAATGGAAGGGAAAATTTTGGCTACATTTGCTGTTGTAGAAGCAGAATCGTCAAATTTAAATCCGGAGAAACCAGAAATAGATTATTGGGCTGGATTCATAATAGACCAAGATGGAAGTTTAGTCTTTGAAGATGATAGTCAAAAGACTATACCAGAACCTAAGAGTAATGCAATGGCAGAATTTCCACATAATAAACAATTGGCTAAGGTGAAAGATTCTTTTGGTTATCTCGATACAAATAAAAAGATTCAAGCCACAACAGATATCGCTGTGAAAAAATATTTCCTTTGTGTGACAGAAGCAGATGCATTCTCTAATCCAAGTAATTTCACATTTAAAAATTAATTAGTTATTAATATTTAATGATAATTTATTCTTATCGCTTTATGCTATAATTTATTTATTAAATTGTGTGATGTTATTATATATTAAATTTTTCTTAAACTTCATAAAAGTTATTAAATTATCATGTAACGTACAATTATTTCTGATGTAATATACAATCTAATATACGTANATTATTAATACACTTAAACAAGACAAAATAGTTTAAATATCTTAAGTCAATTTCATAACTCAATTTTCCTTTACTTTTATTTTGACAAATATGTATGTTGCGTACACTAAGTAATCATGACAAAGGACTATCTAACTATAATAATAAAAAGAACAGGTATTTAAAATAAAAATTTTATCTGTAATGAGAAAGGGACTATACTAAAAGCAGTGACAAACGAACTATAAGAAGAAACAACTGATAACAAATGCCACAATTGCCATCTTGCACACAAAAATAGATGCACAGAACATTCAATTTATTATAGTTTCCTTTAAAAATATATAATTCATTTATGCCAATAAAAGTTATAGCATGAAATAAAACTAATATTATGAATATGAGAATTTTTCTATGTGCATATTTTTCTGTACAGGCATTTTTTGATGTGAGCTATATGACAATGGAGTTTTTTGTGTGGGCTTTTTTCTGGTTATCCAAAGGAATATATAAAATATGATGGTAAGAGTGTTGGAACAAATGATGATTGTTTTCATTTGAATCTTGATTTTTATATTGATTATTAGCTAATAAAGAATATGATAAATTTTTATATAAGATATTTCTCTATTTCCTTTATTTATTGAAATTATTTCATAATATTCTTTATTAACCCGGCGTGAGTGAGGTCGGGTATGTAATACCCGAGAAGATTTTAAATTTAGATTATTTAATGTTATTGTTGCCATGCAAATCCCATTGTCACAGTAGCGGGAGGTAAGGGAGTGGGGGGCGAGGCGCAGTGTTGAGTTTAGTGTTCCGCCGGTGTCAGCGGGAGATACACAGGAGCAAAGGTGGCTGGGATACGTCACACCCGACCTCATAGTCTGTGTTACATTTTTGAGTTGACAGTAAGTTTATGAGTTATAGTTATTTATAGTATTTTTAGATTTATTTCTAGATTTCTCAAATGATAGTCTTTTTATTAGACAAAAAAACACATCTTCCAAGGGAAACTCGAAAAGTGATTACTGATCAACTGGGAGAACCTTCATTATCTGTTTCCAAAAAAATTGCTAATAAATATGTCAGGTGCGGTGAGTGTACTAAAAAACAGATAGGAAAACAAAACATTGCTGTTCAAAGTGTGAGAAGCCAAAATGTATGAAACATGTGATTTTTATGTGTGGAGATTGTGCTGATTTGTAGGTGTAATGTTGGTGCTGTGCATTGATCTCATAAGAACTTTTAGTTTTTTTTCTATTTTTATAATTGAAAGATACTATAGTTATGTTGATTAACCAAAGAAGTTGTAATTTTGTTAGAATTTTATACGAAAAAATGTTAAACTATCAAAACTTGTACTTTTTCAAAGAAAATATAGACACTTTGTTATTTCAATTAAAAAAAATGATTTTCAANAGTTTATGGAACAGCTTCTACAGGTAAGAATTATAAATTTAAAGAATATTAATATGTAAATTTTCGACTATAAATTCGACTATCTTCTATTATCAGGACTTATTATACTGGTTTTACAGATAATATTACAAAGATTAACAGAAAACAATTTTTATTTTATTTCGTATACCAGGTATACGAAATAAAATAAAAATTGTTTTCTGTTAATCTTTGTAATATTATCTGTAAAACCAGTATAATAAGTCCTGATAATATAAGATACGAATTTATAGTCAAAAATTTACATATTAATAAGATACTATTCTTATTATCCCAAGTGAAAAAATACTTTATACACAATTATAGTATAAAAAATTTGGCATTGAAGTTTCGGGTATCTCCTACCCACCTCGTAGCTGGTGTAACAATTTCTCACCTCATTCATGCTGGGTTAATTGTTTTAATAAAGAATTATTATGTAAAGTATTGAAGACAGAATTGCATCAAGAAATATTTTAACTACTAAGTGCACAACTGGAATAGCTATCACAAACCTTTTTTTCTTTATTAAATTACTAGAATTGTTCCAATTCACTTTTTTCAATTAGAATATTTTCAGTAATTTATAGTATTGCAATTTATAGATATATTTTGGAATAAACACATTTATTTCATATTTGCAATTTATTTTATGTAAAACATTATAATAATTCAAATGTATTTGATGAATTTAGATGATATAATTAATATAAATATAGTAATGGTCAAATGCAGAATTTTTATTTTTGCAGGTCATTATTAGTAGCAGCTACAGAAAGAAAAAGTATATTAATATTTGACCCTCTTAATCACAAATTAGTGAATTATGTGAATGAAGCACATAATGATTGTGTTAATTATGCCAGGTAACTTTTTGTATGTTTTGATTTTAAGATATTAAAGTTTAAGATGATTTTACAAATTAAATTCATTACATGTTATTTGTAATATTAAGTTGTTAATTAATAACACATCACTCAATAAGTCTCTGGTCTGACACATATATTACAACACTGTTGACAGACCCATATGGTTTCTGGATAGTACCAACCTTCAAACAAAACATGTCAAAATTTCATGACATTCTGATAATTAATCTACAGATTACAGTGGTTTTAGTGACCCCAGTTTTGTAATTTTCAAAACAATGGATAAAAAAGAATTTCATGTGTTGATTAAACATTGTTTTTTCATGGGGGAAAATACTGTTGAAGCCAAACAGTGGCTTGATAAACATTATGGAGACACTGCACCAGGGAAATCAACTATTATTGACTCGTATGCTGAATTTAAATGTGGTCGTACAAACACCGATGATGCTGAATGTTCTGGTCGCCCAAAATTGGCAGTTGTTCTGGAAAACATAAAAAAAGTCCACAAAATAGTTTTGAAAGACCATAAAGTGAACTTGTGTGAGATAGCTGATACCTTAAATATATCAGAAAGTAGTGTGTTTACAATTTTACACGAAAGAGGGTGCCACGTTTGCTCACACAGGACCAAAAATAACAATGTGTCGATGATTCAGAGTGCTGTTTGGAGCTGTTCAAGTGAGATAAAAATGATTTCTTGCGTCAGTATGTGATGTGACAATGGATGAAACATGGATCCATTACTACACACTTGAATCAAAAAGATTGTCAGCTGAGTGGACAGCAGCTGGTGAATATCGTCCACAGCAACCAAAAACTCAAAAATCAACTGGCAAGGTTATGGCATCTGTATTTTGGGACACGCATGGTATTTTGTTCATCGACTATCTTGAGAAAGGTAAAACTATCAATAGTGAATATTATTACATGGCACTATTGGATCGATTGAGTGTATAAATCAAGAAAAAATGCCCTCACATGCAAAAGAAAAAAGTGCTCTTCCACCAAGACAATGCCCCGTGTCACAAGTCAATGAAAATGATGGTTAAATTGAATGAATTACACTTCAAATTGCTTCCTTGCCCACTGTACTCTCCAGATCTAGCCCCCAGCGACTACTGGCTTTTTGCAGACATCAAAAAGATGCTCCAGAGAAAGAAATTTGGCTCAAATGAAGAAGTGATTGTTGAAACTGAGGCCTATTTTGAGAGCAAAGATAAATCGTTGTACAAAAAAGGCATTGAAAAGTTAAAGGAGCATTGGAATGAATGTATCACTCTTGAAGGAAAGTTTATGAATAAAGTTGAATTTCTAAAAAAAAATTGCTTTTCTTAGTTAGACCAGAGACTTATTGAGTGATGTGTTAATTAAACAAGTTAAACTTTATTTTATGTTGCTAATTAATTAATTATTGACAAATCAGCTAATTGGTGAGAATATATATACAATAGAGTGTCGTTTATCCGAATCAATTGGGGATTGGGATTGTTCGGCTAACTTATTTTTCGAATAACCAATTACATATGAAAAAATATATTAACCTATCCCATATTGAAATTTTTCTCTGTTGTGTATCATTTCGCATTGAATTTTTATCAATGTTAAGCCTAAATGTAAATTTTTTAAAATAATAATTGTGGCTATTGTATTGTTAAAAATTATTTCTTTATTTTGTGCAAACAAAATAAATATATTGAAATATATAAAAACAAAAAAAATTATATTTTTGAGGTTAATCTAGTATCAAAAATGTTCAATTCAGCACGACACAGTTCGACTGGAACGCTTTCAGTTAACCGACGTTTCAGTTGATCAGCTTTCGGATAAATGACACTCTACTGTATATATTCTCACCAATTGCAACTTACTTTTTGACTCTGATGGCAACACTGGAAATATTTTGGCTGTAAGGTATAACTGATTTGTCAATGTTGCTGCAGAGGTTAGTCTGTTTTCAAGCATGAAAGATATTGTGTTATTTAGATGTAGTGTCCAAATTGGAAGCTCATGCAGTAAGTCATTTCTTATGGACACAAAGGTGTAATTGCACTGAAATTCAATGCCAGTTGATGAAAGTGTACAGTGAGAAATTACTTTCTTTTAATGCCGAAAGGGACTATGATTAATATGGCCATACATTGTGAAACTCTGAAGAGGCTGAGAAAGGTGATTAAACATTGCCAGTCAAGAAAAAAATTCAAATGGACTGTAAGGGAACATCCTACAGTCCAGACCTTGAGCCTTGTGATTTCCATGTGTCTCCAAGATAAAGGATCTTTCCAATTATTGATACGAGTCCAATAAAGATGTCACAAATGTGATACAAGAATGGTTATTGCATTCTGGACAGGAATATTTTCAAGAAGGACTAGAAAAACTCATTTCATGCTGTAATAAATGTTTAAATAAACTTGTACTTGGATTGTACATTTTCACAAATAAAAATCATTGACTCATATATTTCATACTTGTATTTTTGGTATGAGTGCAACTTGCTTTTCGACTCATCCTTGTATTAAAAAATTTCAAGTTGATTTATAAAATTTAAAATTTTTTTCGTTTAATTTTCCACTGGCAAGAATATAAAAAAATGGCTGCTGCTGGAGGATATTCTATATATTTTTTCATACAAAAAAAAAACAAAAAAGAAAATACAAATGGATGGAACTTTAAGCTATGCAAGAAATATATGGTCCTGTACTGACACATATGAATGTGAAGGAGCCAGCACTGGTTGACTAGCTCTACCATCACCTTTCAAAATTTTCTGAGTTGCTACCAGCTCACACATTCCTGCAAAAAAGAGGAAACATTGACATTTAAAATATATATAGTTGAACCTCCTGTAATGACCAGTTTTTCAGGAACTTTTTGGTTTTTTGGAACAAAAAATGCATATGAAATAACCTCTGAACAACAACCATTTTTTATATATTTGTCAGTGAAAAATTAAAATTTTAAAATTTTATAAATTATTACTTTTTTAAACTGATACTATTACTTTTAATAGTTATCAATATTTATATTCTATAATAGTCTGTAAATGTGATATTTGTTAGTATCAAAAATAAATAAAATTAAATTGTTAATGCTTTTTTCCCAGGTTTTTAGATTCAAGGATGTTTGCTACGTGTTCAGATGATACCACTGTTGCTCTTTGGGATATTCGTTACTTGAAACATAAGATACGCACATTAAAAGGACATTCTAACTGGGTTAAAAATATAGAATTTGCTAGTAATGTTGGTCTTTTAGTAACATCAGGATTTGATGGCAGTATTTATACATGGGATATTAATAGGTAATAATAAGAGTAATTAAATATAAATAGAAAATTAATTACTTTAGTTTCATTGTGTAATTAGTGACACAAAAAAATACTAATATATTGAATATTTAATAAGTACATATTACTGTCAGGAATGAGATTGATTATTTCTTGATATTAATATCACTTTGAAAAATAATAAAAAGTTATTAAACTTTTCAGTTTTTAAACAATTATATAACACTTTTTTAACTTTCAGTTATTAAATTTTGAAATTAAACATGATTGACTTGTATTTATTTTTTAGTTTATTTTTATTTATCTCTATAATAATCTGACAAAATAAATTCCAGTCAATCATATAGTTTAATTCTGTTATTTGAACTTGGAATTTAGAATTTTACAGCATATGTCAGTAAAGTATCTCAAATGTATAATATGACAAATTATTTTTGGAGAGCAAAAGTCTTAATCATTCAGGCACATTTGAAATTATATATTTATATATTTATCTTCAAGACGCAACTGAAAATTGAATTCATTTAGTTGATACTTGAAGATAGATAGATGTGTAATCGGAAAGTGCTTGATTCATTTTTAGATATTTTAAAAAATTCTGTAACAAAGAATTTATATAATTTGATTATTATTTAATTACTAAATTAATTACTCTAAATTTGTTATTAAATTAGTGATCAAATTTCAAAGTTCATAATAAAGTTTTAAAAATTTTTCTGATTTCTTTTTAAGTTTGATATTGTATCAATAAAAAAATTTATCTATTTTATCCCTGAAAAATTTATTATTGCCCTATCATAATTTCTCTATGATAAAATTTACTACATAAAAATTAATTCATTAAATCTTTAAAATATTGTGATGTTAAAAGTTTTCCTAATGTTGATGAAAATTTGCACAGCTAAAACTGTTAATGTTAAATACTGTGGATGACATATTTGTAAATTCTTTCTTTAACACTATGTAATTCCATAACCGAATTTCAAAATTTCCAATAATAAACATTAATTTATAAATTAGTCTGTATCTACATGTATTTATTTAAGATAGCTAGAATGACAGTGACTTGTTCAGATGGCATCATGTAACTACATACATAGCAGATTGTAGTGTAATAACGAGAACTATAGATTAATAGGATTAATTATTTTTGAATTTTGTAAATTTAAAAATTTTATTTGTTCTGGCAATTTTTATCAAAAGAATTAATTATATTAAAAATTTTAATTAAAAAATTTAAAATGAACACTAATCAGATGCTAGTCTGCATTTCATTTTCTATCCACCAATCCTAGAGTGAAATACAGTTTGAAATTTTTTTACAAAAAATGCAAATCTATGAACTAGTGTTTCTCTAACAGGATTCCAGGATCACGGCTGTTTTTTAACCTGGGAAATCTGGCAAATTTCTTAAAAGTTCACTTTTTTCTTATTTTGTGTTAAGGTTGAGGAAATTTTGCAAATAGAAAGTATAATTAGCTGATAAACTGTCAGAATACATTTTTATTTAATTTTAAGCCTGCTTATTAGTTTTTTAAATTTTTCTTGCTACGGCATGCCAGAGATTGCCAATAACCAATATGTTGATTATTTGTGGCATAACTCTGAAAATTCTTTGACAAAATAATGTCAAATATTAACTGAAACTGTTGATAAATGTGTATTCATATTCTATACTTAAAAACTAAAAGGAAAGTCTCAATAAACATAATTTATAAAACCCATAGGAAAGGAGTTAGACCCTATTTTATTATTATTTTTTACTTCCTAACATCAGAGGTGATGTTCAAGATGGTTGCCATTCTCAACCATAACACTGCTGAGACTCCATAATATTGAATGCCTTACTCTAAATTTTCAGGCTGATTTCTAATATCAAAAATGTCTTAATTTTTTATCATGCACAGTAGCTTTAGAAACTGCATTATACCAGGTTGTGCAAATTGGACAAGGATACAAATGAATACAAAGTATGCAAGTATAAAGTTTTTTTCATAAATCTGATTATTAAAGCCAAACAAACTGCTGAATTATTGGGCTATAAGCTTGATGCTGCTATTAAAGCAGCTGAAGTAGACAAATCAAGAATACTAGACAGCAAAAGAAGTACTGCAATGTATCTTGAAAATAAACTAGAAATCTTCCAAGCTACATGTGAAAAACACAAAACATCTGTCTTCTCTTAAATGCATTAAAGACTATTCCACCTGCATCAATTGAATCAAAAAGGGCATTCACAGTAACAGGATTTTTCATTATTAAAATAATAACCAGATTGAGTGATTGGAGTATCGACCATTTTTGCTTCTTAAAATCTTATTATAAAAATTTACAATAATATTTTGTATTATGTTTTATTTAAAAAATGAAAATTACCTTCTAAGTTAGAAGTTTCATCTAAGTTCATTTTTTTCTTTAAATTTTTAACTCAATTTAAAGGATTTTTTTTGNATTTTTGCATTATTAATTATTATAAAATATCGAAAAACTTAATTTTGAAGGTACAGAGGAGTTTTATTAAAAAATTGTATATGCTAATAACGAGTAAAAATCGTAATTAAGTCCGACACTATTCGAGATATGACACACGACTCCCCTTTATCTCCCCAGCACCTCTACCTTTAACCACCAAAATTTAATAGCATCAACCCCTAATACACAAACATCTGTGCAAAATTTTATAAATTTTAATTTTCGACAAAAGGCACGGCAGTTATTCAGTTTCAAAGTAAATAAGAAATATCGTTCCCCCAACACACACTTAACATCTAAAAGTAGAAAAAAAAATCCCTTTTTTTGCAATTCTCGACGTTTCAAGGTTCCCTGAGTCCAAAAATGTAAAAACCTTGGCGGTCATTTTTCTGATCATTTGTCCATACTTACTCTGTATTATACATAACAGAGCCGGGAAAGTAAAAATGTAATTCATGTCATAATATAAACTTATTTTATCGTAAATATAATTATAGGTATTTAAATTATTTCACTTATTATAAGCTTAGTATGTCGAAAAAATAAAATAGTTAAGCAAAATGAACAGAAAAAGATTATTTAATTACAGATTTTAATTAACAATTGATATTTAAAGTTATAATTATTGTACGAAAATTGTTACGGAATTTAAAGTAATATTGTACTGTACATTTCGAATGAATACACATTTTATCAATATCTTAATGAATTCAAGGGTGTTTTTTCTTTGTATTTAAGAAAATTGTTCTGAGTTATAAATAATTTCATATTTAAAAGCTGTGAAAATCCAGAAATTAATGTATGTTTAAAATAATAATAATAATAAATCGTTATACCCCATGTTTTGCTAAAAAATTCTTGCAATAATTTAAAAATTTAATGTGTTTTTAAACTTGTATATAATTGAAGTAAACTATGTTTACATTTTAATTAATTTTTTTAAGTTTCTCATGTTTAATTACAAACTACAGTACTGTACATAATTATAAAATGCACATATTTAGTAGTTTATTAGTTAATTTGCATTTTTATTAAATACTTGCACAAAATTGCTCTGGCTGAATATCAGCTTATATAATTAGATTATTATTTAATTTAAATTTCTTAATAAATTAAATATAAATATTACTATTTTTAAAATCTAAAATTCAAAAAGAAAATTATATAATTAAATAAATGTCTATGTTAAATTGCAATAGAAATTTTAATTATAAAATGAACATTGATTACAATAAATATCATGTCAGCGTTATATAACTGCATGCCAATTTCTGAATGAATTTATTATTTGAATCAGATCAGATTGTATAGTAATTTTAATCAATATTTTATAAATAACGACTGCTTCACAAAATATAAATAATAAAAAAATTTTTGTCATCAAAATCCAATGTCATAGCGCACCTCGTAAGCGAAAAAAGTATATGCCGGTACCTGTACTAGTTAGGATTAGAATGCAAGCTGACAAATAAAAAGAAAAAAATTGTATACTAGCTTAATCAGTTAATACTTTTACTGTACAATGAGATCTGAAAGTGTACAATAGTTCATGTGACTTAAACTTTCAATGAAGGTAAGAGCATGAGAATTAACAGATGTAGGCCTACAGAATATGAAAAATTCAACAGAAAATGACAAAAATTAGCAAGCTATCCGTGTGACCAGAGAACTATGACAAAGATTTTTACGAATTTAAAAAAAGCCAAGACAATGAAAATAAAAAAATTTTCTCTAACTTCTAATTCTAGATTACATCGGCCATTCTTCAGTATTTTATCACTGCTTGAAATAATCTACTAACAAGTAAGTTGTGACTAACGAATAGGCTTTATGAATATGACAAGTTTTACATTAATTTTTATTTGAAAAGAAAACAACAACAAGCTAAATAAATTTATTTTATACTAGCTCTACCCGGCCACGCGTTGCTATGGCTCAAAATGTATCTATTATAAATGTATAACACTCCTTGAGGGAGGAAATTTCGAAAAATCCCTTCTTAGCGTACATTCTCTTGACGTACCCTATTAAAACGCAATCAAAAACGCAAAAAACCGCATCTAAAATAGAATAATAGAAGACCAGTTCTTCACGGTAAGCCTTAATTTTGTTCTCTCACCCGCGGGGGAATTTCAACATTTAGCCTATATGATATAAAAACGCGTGTATTTCAATGCAACGTTTTGTCAAAATTTCAAAGCAATCGGTTAAGAACTTTCGAAGATTTAAGATTTTGAACAAACGAACATTTACATTTTTATTTACATATATAATCAACATACTGTACATTTATTTTTTTAGAATTTTAAAAATTCTGAAAAATTAATCTTCCTTTTCAAATATTATCTTTAAAACAGCTGGTTTGTTCCACGCATATTCCCATATTATTATAAACTTTACCGTTTTTACATTGGCAACCTGGTACACATCGCGGTCTCAAATACACGCATGGATAAATTCTTAGAATATTATTGCATGCTGGTGCTCCACAGCTTCCTAAACAATAAACGAATTCTTCGTCTTCATTGCAACGACCTAATAACGAAATTAAGATAGAAAATAACAACAAAATTAAATAATTTGCTAAAAATTTGTTTTATAAAAAAAATATAATTATATATATTATTTCTTTGAGCATTTGAATGAATCATTAATCAACAAATTAATGAAATAATAAAATAAGCAATAATTTTAAAACTCAATTAATATTATTTATGATGTTTTAATACGTGATAAAACAAAGTTGAAACAAGCAATAACATTTATTGTGTTATTGAAAATGAGTTATTGCCTAACGGTTTTACAGTAGAGCGTCGTTTATCCGAATCAATTGGGGACTGGGGTTGTTCGGATAACTCGTTTTTCGGATAATCGATTATGTACGAAAAAATATATTAACCTATCCCGTGTTGAAATTTTTCTCCGTTGCGTGTCGCTTCGCGTTGAATTTTCGTCGATGTTAAGCCTAACGTAAACTTTTAAAATAATAATCGTGGCTTTTATATCGGTAAAAATTATTTCTTTATTTTTTACAAACGAAATAAATATATCGAAAAATATAAAAACCAAAAAATATATACTTTAGAAGTTGATCTAGTATCAAAAATGTTCGATTCAGCATGACACACAGTCCTCAGAAAAACACCATACAAAAATGCCAGTGCTGCCGGCTAAAACACACACACCAACAAAAAAATATATTGGAGTAGCCTAAGATATAGCCAAAGATTGCAGCGCCACAGCACTAGCGAAAATTTAAATTTGCCGACTGAAATACTTTCGGATAACCGACTTTCGGATAAACGACGCTATACTGTAATTGATTTTATGCGAATAAAATTTGCATGTTTTCAGAGAGAAAATAAAATTATATTCATTTATATAATTTTGAAGAATTTATAGTTCAAGCAAATTTTTTTTTCTTTATCTTCCTGCGTAATACATAGGATCGACGTACAGGTTGAAACCAAGATCCTATTGTCTCACGTTAAATAGAAAATTCTTCACGGCAGTAGAACAAAATAGAAAGACAATCGACGTGCTGAATCCTTATGAAAATTCACGAGAATACAAAATTGCGATCCTCTTCACCTGAGATAACCGATCTTACTTAGTCTAGGTCGTCCGTAATGAGTCAATGCTATTTAGGTTATTATGAGCTATTCTTTGCGTTATGAAGTTAATCTAATCAAATTATACGAGAACGTTTTACTAAGAATAGTAAAATCTAACAACTGGAGAATATCATAAGGCTCGGTACAGTCAAGCTGCCAAGTAACGAGCGAACAAACGAATGACTTAACGAAGCAAACTGTAATATATTCGAATTACAACACTTTCTGTCTATCCGGATTCACATTTTATTAAAAATCTAAAGATATACGGGCCATACGGACAAAATATGAGTATAGTAATACCTCGAACTTACGCGATAGGTGGGACCGAGAGATAACCGCGTAAGTCGAATTCGCGTAAGTCGGAGTATAATTTCCCAAATTTTGTAAACTCCAAGTCGGATGTATGTAAGCTAATAAATGTTCTTGTTAATCTTATCTCGTCTTTTGATTCGTTCACGGTTACAAGAAATCATCACATAGAGTCTCTCAAGTCTCCGTAGATATAACAAACACAGAAATAAATAACACAAAATAAATTGTAGCTATGTGTCGATTCCGCGCGACACGTCCGAACATGTAAGCCGATAATTTTTTATTGTTTTTATATTTTTAAATATATTTATTTTGTTTGTACAAAATAAAAAAATAATTTTTAACAATACAATAGTCTTCGTTAGGCTTAACATCGATGAAAATTCAACGTGAAGCGACACGCAATGGAGAAAAATGTCAAGATGGGATAAATTAATATATTTTTTCATACATAATCGGTTATTCGAAACATCGATCTTCCGAACAACCTCAGTCCCCAATTGATTCGGATAATCAATGTTCTACTGTATTATTATTTTGGAGGTTGCAAGACATGTTAAATTACTTAAAAATGAAAAATAATGATATCATTCGATTTCAAGATTTATTTTATATCTTAAAAATAATTAATTATATCTTGGGATTTCCTAGGATCCCAGGAAACAGATCAGTTTTGAAATACTGGGACAAGCAAAGAAATGCAAAATCCTACTATGAACCTTATAAATGAAATTCCAGTATAAAATACAAACATTTATTTGCATTAAATTATACTGGAATTTCATTTATAGGTTCATAGGTTTGCATTTTTTATGACATACTTTATNATGCAAAATCCTACTATGAACCTTATAAATGAAATTCCAGTATAAAATACAAACATTTATTTGCATTAAATTATACTGGAATTTCATTTATAGGTTCATAGGTTTGCATTTTTTATGACATACTTTATTCCATTCTTGCAGTGTTTGAGAAATTTTTTTTTTAATTTGGAGCATCTTCAACAAATTCTACATCATCTCACAGATCATTAGTAATTTTGGAGTATTAAATCTTAATTTATACTTAAAATTTCTTGTTCTCTAACCTGCCCAATTGTTTTTCATGAGCATTATCATGCAGTTTTACTGACTGAAAATTGGCTAGTATTATATATTTATTAATATAAAGTAATAATTTCTATTGTATCTATCTATTTATTTATTTTATACCTTGAAATGTCATAAAAATTTTATTAAAAGTGTTTGTAGATGTAAGAGAAATAGTGCATGATTAATTATTGAAAATAAACATGCATACTTGATGAAATTATGGCAGGTAATATTTAAATTAATAAAAAAGTGAAGATGAGTTATAGTTAAATATTTTTGATATACATAAAAATAAATAAATAATTTAAAAGAGTGATTTTATTTATAGATATTCTGAAGAAGATACACAGTTTCAACGGGTGTTTCACACAAATGGATTGATGAGAATGAGACTTACTCCAGATAATTCTAAAATGGTTATATGTACTACTGGAGGTTATTTAATGGTCATCCATAATTTGGATCTAAATAATTTAGCTGAGGATCTCATGGGATTTAAGGTAATTAAGAATTATTGTTCATATTTGTAGCTTGGAGTGTCTTTAAATATTTATTATGTTGTAACTAGACAGTAAATTTTCAAATTGCATTGCTTTTGGTTACTTTTAAGAATTTGAGGATCTGGTTTTATTATTTAAAAATTATTTAAGAATTAAGATATTTTATTTTTCATAATAAAATTAATATTACAAAAATTTACATATTTGAACATTATTGCATAAAGTAGTACTTTTAATATTGTAACAAGGATGTACTTTGATTGAAAATTTCCTGAAAGATTGATAAGAATAAATGGATCAGTCAGTTGGCTGACTGGGTTGCCAACTGACAATTAAAAACAATGGAAAACATTTGGTTCTTGCATTAAAACTTTGTTTTTTTGCTTGTTTTCTGGTGATAGTGGTTTACTTTATAGTACATTCATTCAGTTTATCTTATATACATTAAGGATTAATGAATTATATTTACATTGTTTAATTTAAAATCAGATTTTTTAGTAATTAAATTATTTATAAATTATGCATGTTTGCTCAGTTAAACTATGTCTGCAAGCTATAAACTATGCAATTTGTTCATCTTTAGGCCAAATTTCATATATATAAAATCACTGTATATATTTTATACTTTAGTTTCTAAATTGTTGTGTGTGTGTACACACACACACAACACAATTCAGAAACTAAAATCACTGTGGCAAATTTTATATCATGTAAATGCTGAAAAATTTACTAGTGCTCTAAAAGATTATCAAATGATAAACTAAAGTTTGTCTTATAATTTAGTCTGTTTTTAATCAGGAGACAAAATTTAGTCAGCAAAAGAAAGTTTTATTTTTTTGATTTTTTTTTTGTTGTTGTTGGTTTTGTTGAATTTTGCTGTAAGATGCTTGTAAAAGGCCAACCTGGCCACAGTGTCTTTTGAGAAATAAATAAATAAAAAAAATAAAAAATATTTGCTATGCATTTTGGGATTAAAACATCTTTGAAATTTGTAGTGAATAGAAATTTCTTTTACCAACTGAACTTTGCTTCCTGATTAAAACAGACTAAATTATAAGACAAACTCAGATTTATTGTTTGATAGTCTTAATTAGAGCACCAGTTGATTTTTTGCATTTATGTAAATTTTATAGTTTAATTATCTAATTAATAACACTGTTATAGCCCATTTATAATTTGGTAGTTTAGATCTTTGATTATTTAAATAATAGTTAATATAAAATTTAATTTATGTATTTGGATAATTAGTTTTTGTAATTTTAAGAATTTATTCATTAGATTTTTTAATATGAACATAATTTTTTGTAGCCAAACATGTACAGATTAATGCAGATGGGAAATACACCTTTTCCAATTGGTTATTCATATAATCATTTATTTACTGCTCAGCGTAATCGAATTGAACTTATATCAGATTTTCCTGAAGGAAATGATGCTGAAATTATCTCTTCATTACAAGTTCATCCATATGGATGGTGTGTATTATCTCGTAACACAAGCAGTGATGAAAATACTGAGGTAGGAAATTTATAAGCTATTCAAAATGGAATGACTTGCTAATCATAGAGATGTATTGTAGGAAAAGGTTTTTCTAAAAAGTATTGAGTAGTTTATCTGATTACTGTTATACTACGTTCGCACACAATCCACGACTCACTTCAATCTCAATTTACCTACAATCTGGATTGTGACTGTCACTAGTCGAACGTCGTGCTGTTCGCACAGACAGTCCGCTCAAGAAGAACCTGGCTATTACACGCGATCATAAAACTGACGTAACTACACGGTAAGTCACAAACACCAACAAACAAAATGGAAGTTTTGGTTAGAAATAAATACTTTTTCTTGCCATACATCTAATAATAGACAGATGTCGTCGTCTCTCCAGATGTCTTTTTTATTTCTCTGTCGATAGCCCGACACGTGTTCCGCA